AAATCTTTTTTTCATAAAAATATTATCTTGAAGGATCTTTAATACAAACCTGTGTCATCTCATACAGCTGGATGTTCAGTCTGTTATATAGAAGAGTTTCATAAACTGTAAACGTGACAGGACCCAGGACTGACCCCTGAGGAACACCTTACATCTTGGAAGATTCATTAAACCAGTTCATTGTCCTTAAAAAGATCTAAAGGGTTCGGATCAGACTCGTCTCAAACTTAAGAGCAAACTTATAAAGAGTTTCTCTCTTTTCTATTTACTGACTCACTTTATAATAATGGTTTACTAAACGTGTTTCACCCTCTGCTCTCACATTGACATTTGACGTTAACTTCGGATGTTTGTGTTTCAGGTTTTGAAAACTTTGAGCAGCTTCTGTCCGGAGCTCATTGGATGGTAGGAGAACATTTATTATTGATCAGCTGTTCCCGTTTCTCTCTGAGACTCGGAACACTTACATCTGCTGTCTTAAACAACCTGTCTGTCCTCATCATGATCCTGTCTGTCCTCATCATGAACCTGTCTGTCCTCAACATGAACCTGTCCTCATCATGTACCCATCTTTCCTCATCATAAACCCCTCTGTCCTCATCATGTACCCGTCTATCATGATCATGTATCTGTCTGTGCTCATCATGTACCTGTTGTCCTCATCACGATCCTGTCCGTCCTCATCATGCACCTGTCTGTCCTCATCATGTACCTTTCTGTCCTCATCATGAACCTGTCTGTCCTCAACATGAACCTGTCCTCATCATGTACCCTCTGTCCTCATCATGTACCTGTTGTCCTCATCACGATCCTGTCCGTCCTCATCATGCACCTGTCTGTCCTCATCATGAACCTGTCTGTCCTCAACATGAACCTGTCCTCATCACGATCCTGTCCGTCCTCATCATGTACCCGTCTGTCCTCATCATGTACCCGTCTGTCCTCATCATGAACCTGTCTGTCCTCATCATGAACCTGTCTGTCCTCATCATGTACCCCTCTGTCCTCATCATGAACCCGTCTGTCCTCATCATGTACCTGTCTGTCCTCATCATGAACCTGTCTGTCCTCTCTCTGCAGGATAACCATTTCCGCAGCGCCCCTCTGCAGCAGAACGTTCCCGTTCTTCTCGCTCTGCTTGGCGTCTGGTACATCAACTTCTTCCAGGCAGAGACTCACGCCATGCTGCCCTACGACCAGTACATGCACCGCTTCGCCGCTTACTTCCAACAGGTCAGGAGGGGGAGGGGCTTCATCTGTTAAGAGGAAACAACAACAAAACACACTGACAGGAAACTTAAATACAACAAACAAACAAACACATTCATTCGTGTGTGTAGGGAGACATGGAGTCTAACGGGAAATACATCACTAAAGATGGAAGCCGTGTGAACTATCACACTGGACCAATCGTGTGGGGGGAACCAGGCACTAACGGACAACACGCCTTCTACCAGCTCATACACCAGGGTAACACACACACACACACACATCAGCATCATATCACACATTTATATGTTGTTGTTTTCTGTGAAGCGTTCAATGACTCGTTTCTCCTCCAGGAACTCGGATGATTCCTGCTGACTTCCTCATTCCTGCTCAGTCTCAGCATCCAATCAGAAACAACCTCCATCACAAGGTACCGCCCCCTGACCTGCTCTGAGTCCTCTTATCTGATGCAGGAACACTTCCTGTTCACTTGGACTCACCTGTGTGAGGTCACAGCGTCAGTCAGGTGGAACATGATCAGAGTGAGCTGCAGGTGTTCTCACGTCCTTGTTCAGGGGAACAATTGACGACTCTCCACCTGAACATTAGCTCAAATATACACTGCCTGTCCAAAAAAAAAGTCGCCACCTGGATTTAACTAAGCAAATAGGTAAGAGCCTCCCATTGGATAATAACTGCATGGGCGATTATCTTTCAGCTGGCAACAAGTTATTTAACCCCAACTGATGCAATGAGTAGCTTCTCATTTCTTAAACAACCACGTTGAAAGACCCATCCTGTGGTCGTGGAAAAGATGTTAAGTCTGTTTGAGAAGGGTCAAATCGTTGGCATGCATCAAGCAGAGAAAGGAGATTGCAGAAACTACTAACTTTGGGTTAGGACTGTCCAACGCATTATTAAAAACTGAACAGAAGATTTACCCTGTTCCACAGTGATCAGGGTAAGAAGAGAGGCAGATGAAGTGATGCACCCATCATGATCTGGGGTTGCTGCAGTTGGTCAGGTCTAGGTTCAGCAACATTATGTGCCCAAAAATGAGGTCAGCTGACTACCTGAATATACTGAATGACCAGGTTATTTCATCAATGGATTTTTTCTTCCCTGATGGCACGGGCATATTCCAAGATGACAATGCTAGGATTCATCGGGCTCAAATTGTGAAAGAGTGGTTCAGGGAGCATGAGACAAAATTTTCACCCCATTGAGAATCTTTGGGATGTGCTGGAGAAGACTTTGCGCAGTGGTCCAACTCTCCATCATCAATACAAGATCTTGGTGAAAAATGAATGCAACACTGGACGGAAATAAATCTTTTGACATTGCAGAAGCTCATCGAAACAATGGCACAGCGAATGCGTGCCGTAATCAAAGCTTAAGGCGATCTAACGAAATATTAGAGTGTGTGACCTTTTTTTTTTGGTGGTGACTTTTATTTTGGCCAGGCAGTGTATTATTGTTGTAATTATTTTGTGTGTTTGTGCGTTCAGATCCTGGTGGCGAACTTCCTGGCTCAGACTGAAGCTCTGATGAAGGGAAAAACTTCTGATGAGGCTCGAAGAGAGCTGGAGGCTGGCGGCCTGAAAGGAGACGCTCTGGAGAAACTGCTACCACACAAAGTAAGAACATCATCATCATCATGATGTTGTATAACCTGAGGGATGACAAAGGGTTAAATATTAAACATATTAATATTAAATCAACTTTCTCTGTGTTCTTCTTCTCTTTCTTCGGAAGGTGTTTGAGGGAAACAAGCCGAGTAACTCCATTGTTTTTAAGAAGCTGAGTCCGTTCATGCTGGGAGCTCTGGTCGGTGAGTTCTCTTCATCCATATATCAAATAAAATACAGACAGACCGTTAAAGGACCAACCAGTGAGATGTGTAGTGAGTGAAATGATAAAGTGAGCTTACTATATGATCAGACATTAAGGAAACATGCTATGTTGAAGTGCTGGCTTCTCTGACAAGAATGCAGCAGCCAGTATGTCCTCCTAATTTTAGATTCTGGTCCTGAATGCTCTGGATTTGTTTGGACCAGAGAAGGTAGACGGTTTTTAAGGCACCACCACACGGCCGTTTTGGACGCCCCTCGGTTTGCAAGATATGAGACCAGTTATCAGGTCAAACCAACAGGTGTGATGGAAGCGGGCAAGACAACTGGTCTAAAAAGCCTAAACACTGAAGCTTCAGAGTCCACCACATGGCAACCTGCGTGAGCATCGACTCTAGAGAGGAGGGAGGGGGGGAGCCCAGCTCTCTAAAATGTTTAGAATTTAGACTGCAGTACCCGTTTTTAACACTAGGGGTCAGAGTTACATACTGCTCCTTTAATCTGCTGCTGTTTAGATTTATACCACCTGATGGCCACTAGGGGTCACTGTTCCTGCAGGTAAACAGGTGGGACACAGTGTTAACATGGTTTTATAAATGTGTCATGAATCCCTCGCAGCAGGTTTATAGAAATATCACTTCTTTAATATGACTGAAGTTTCAGGGTGAGATGTAGAAATAGGCCTGCATCCTGAAAGTGAATATGATAGTGACAATCAGGAACACTAATAAGACTTCAGTGATTCAAAATGTTTGAATGATTATGAATGAACAAAGACATGTTTGTCGTTTCACCGCACAGAAGCAGCAGCTGCCGTTTAATGGACTTTAAGGTGAATTCATTGATTCTGTTTTTCAGCCATGTACGAACACAAGATCTTTGTGCAGGGAGTCATGTGGAACATCAACAGCTACGACCAGTGGGGGTGAGTCTACACACACACACCTGAACACACTACACACACACCTGAACATATTACACACACACCTGGGATCTGTTGTTCATGTTTTTTTTCTGCTCAGGGTTGAACTGGGGAAACAGCTGGCGAAGCAGATCGAGCCAGAGCTGAAAGACGACTCGGAGGTCACCTCCCACGACTCGTCCACTAACGGACTCATCAACTTCCTGAAGAAGAACTTCGCCTGAGCCCCCTCCCCCTCCTCCTCCTCCTCCCCCACTCTGTACTCCTCTGTCATTGGCTGAAGCTCTGTTTTGGTCCGTTCAAGCACTTCCTGTTTGTTGATGTGATACGTCACATGTAGCAGTGTTTAAACTTGAAAAGGGAGATTATATATCGCTTTAAAGGGAGAAGAGAAAATCAAATGTGCAGATGTTACTGTAGGTGACCACTCTAGTCAGCACTGCCTTTCAAAATAAAAGCCCTGTTGTCACTGGATCACATGGTTTTGTCTTATTTCTACGGTTGACATGATAGCAGAACTGTGCACCAGTTTGTTTGTGATTGATGAGTTCATTACTCTCACACTCACCATAGATTCAGAATGTAAAGCATATTAAAGAGCCCATATTATGCCCTTTTTGGGATTCGTATATTTAATCTATGTACCTACTTTTGTACGTTCACAATAGATAAAGTCTGAAAAAAGTGTCTGTTTTCATGTACTGCTCCTCCTTGCTCCCTCTACACTCTGAGTCCGTCAGCTATGCTCTGCTGAGCCCACACTGTTAGACCCCACGTGGGCCAAGTCTGCTCTGATTGGTCTGCCGATCCGCTCTGCCGTTATTGGTCAGTTGCTCAGCACACGTCTCGGAAATTTCAACATGAGCTGCAGGGCTTGCCACAACGAGCCAATGGGCTTAGATCAGTGATCTCACACTGACAATGACGTCGGACTGACACATTTTTATCGAGGGGGGCTAGAACCAAGCGTTACATGCAGCTAATGCTACAGCTAACAGGAGGACGTTGGAGAAGCCGGGTTTCCGCTGACTTTGAATTTTTGCACATAGATGTGCCTAAACATGTACAGGACACTTGGAAAACACACTAAAGAGCATATAAAACCAGAAAAAGCATAATATGGAACCTTTTAAATAAATCTACGACAGCACGACAGCACCCAGAGGTTAAAGGTCAGGGACTGAATTAGCTGAGGTGACACCAAACATACAGCTAGCAGCTCCCACCAGTCACTCTAAGAGGCCATGTGTTTAAACATGTTTATTTTAACATGGGGCTCTATGGGGACTGACTCACTGCAGGAGACAGACTCTAGTGGACACTGGAGGAACTGCAGCTGTAAAGTTGGACATTTTAACATGGGGCTCTATGGGGACTGACTTACTTAGTGTATACTTCAGTAGAGTTAATATACCAAAGACTCTTGTCTCCTGCTGGAGTTTGAAAGACGTTGTCCGACTAAAACAGAATAAAATGTGTCTGGATGATCTTAATCTTCAGTGAGATTTGACAGGAACAGAACCGGTTTGTTTCTTTATCATATGTGAAGTGGTCCATGAAAGAACAGGTTTCTAGAAACACACCTGTGGAGGAGAAAACATACCTGTGTGCAGAGTGGGCGGGGCTATGAGTGTGATGACTGTGTAAGATTTTACATGAACACTTAGCTGTAGGAGATGAACACATCGTCAGAGGATGGAGATCACTTCCTGTTTCTGTTGGGTGTCTGCAGCTGTGTTTGTCATCACTCTGCTCTGGAGATTTATCTGGGGAGGTGGGACTCATGTTGGGGCCCTCATCGGGGCCCTCGGGGCCTCCCTGTGTTTTATCCTTCCTCCCGTCTACCGCGGGGTCGCTCTCCTCGGCTGCAGCTTCATCCTGACCTTTGTCACTGAGAGGAGAGGCGAGCTGCTACAGGCGGGGGGAAGAGCGGTGCTGGTAACAGGTCAGTCAGACCCCTCTCATTTATTTCCGTCCAGTGTTGCATTAATTTTTCACCAAGATCTTGTATTGATGATGGGAGAGTCGGACCACTGCGCAAAGTCTTCTCCAGCACATCCCAAAGATTCTCAATGGGGTTAAGGTCTGGACTCTGTGGTGGCCAATCCATGTGTGAAAATTTTGTCTCATGCTCCCTGAACCACTCTTTCACAATTTGAGCCCGATGAATCCTAGCATTGTCATCTTGGAATATGCCCGTGCCATCAGGGAAGAAAAAATCCATTGATGAAATAACCTGGTCATTCAGTATATTCAGGTAGTCAGCTGACCTCATTTTTGGGCACATAATGTTGCTGAACCTAGACCTGACCAACTGCAGCAACCCCAGATCATGATGGGTGCATCACTTCATCTGCCTCTCTTCTTACCCTGATCACTGTGGAACAGGGTAAATCTTCTGTTCAGTTTTTAATAATGCGTTGGACAGTTCTTAACCCAAAGTTAGTAGTTTCTGCAATCTCCTTTCTCTGCTTGATGCATGCCAACGATTTGACCCTTCTCAAACAGACTTAACATCTTTTCCACGACCACAGGATGGGTCTTTCAACGTGGTTGTTTAAGAAATGAGAAGCTACTCATTGCATCAGTTGGGGTTAAATAACTTGTTGCCAGCTGAAAGATAATCGCCCATGCAGTTATTATCCAATGGGAGGCTCTTACCTATTTGCTTAGTTAAATCCAGGTGGCGACTTTTTTTTTGGACAGGCAGTGTATATTTGAGCTAATGTTCAGGTGGAGAGTCGTCAATTGTTCCCCTGAACAAGGACGTGAGAACACCTGCAGCTCACTCTGATCATGTTCCACCTGACTGACGCTGTGACCTCACACAGGTGAGTCCAAGTGAACAGGAAGTGTTCCTGCATCAGATAAGAGGACTCAGAGCAGGTCAGGGGGCGGTACCTTGTGATGGAGGTTGTTTCTGATTGGATGCTGAGACTGAGCAGGAATGAGGAAGTCAGCAGGAATCATCCGAGTTCCTAGAGGAGAAACGAGTCATTGAACGCTTCACAGAAAACAACAACATATAAACGTGTGATATGATGCTGATGTGTGTGTGTGTGTGTGTTACCCTGGTGTATGAGCTGGTAGAAGGCGTGTTGTCCGTTAGTGCCTGGTTCCCCCCACACGATTGGTCCAGTGTGATGGGCGTGTCCAGGGGCCCCCTTGAACTCTAAATTGTCATCCCAAAATCCAAATCTGATGGGCTACTTGTCTAATCAGAGGCAGACGTTTTGTTGGTTGTAAATAAATACTTGAAAATTCCAAACCAAAACTTGCGCACCCTGTTGGTCTTACCTTGACAGCGTGCACGAGTTTGCCATCATTGTTTTTGAGTCTCTGAAGAATCAAACTATAAGATTTAAATGTTGCCAAACTGTGTAAGGTACAAGTACATATCATCAAATTGGATAGGAAAGAGCTTGTTGTCTCTTCCTGTTGCAGGTTTTGTTGCAGGTTGTCTCTTCCTGTTGCAGGTTGTCTCTTCCTGTTGCAGGTTGTGATGCAGGTTGTCTCTTCCTGTTGCAGGTTGTGTTGCAGGTTTTCTCTTCCTGTTGCAGGTTGTGTTGCAGGTTGTCTCTTCCTGTTGCAGGTTGTGATGCAGGTTGTCTCTTCCTGTTGCAGGTTGTGTTGCAGGTTTTCTCTTCCTGTTGCAGGTTGTGTTGCAGGTTGTCTCTTCCTGTTGCAGGTTGTTTCTTCCTGTTGCAGGTTGTGATGCAGGTTGTCTCTTCCTGTTGCTGGTTGTCTCTTCCTGTTGCAGGTTGTCTCTTCCTGTTGCAGGTTGTGTTGCAGGTTGTCTCTTCCTGTTGCAGGTTGTCTCTTCCTGTTGCAGGTTGTGTTGCAGGTTGTCTCTTCCTGTTGCTGGTTGTCTCTTCCTGTTGCATGTTGTCTCTTCCTGTTGCAGGTTGTGTTGCAGGTTGTCTCTTCCTGTTGCAGGTTGTCTCTTCCTGTTGCAGGTTGTGATGCAGGTTGTCTCTTCCTGTTGCAGGTTGTCTCTTCCTGTTGCAGGTTGTGATGCAGGTTGTCTCTTCCTGTTGCAGGTTTTGTTGCAGGTTGTCTCTTCCTATTTCATGTTGTGATGCAGGTTGTCTCTTCTCTTGGCGGCTGTGGCTCAGTTGGTAGAGTTGTTGCCTCTCAACCAGCAGGTTGAGGGTTCAATCCCCAGCTGTGTGTGTGTGTCTGTCAGGTTGTGATGCAGGTTGTCTCTTCCTGTTGCAGGTTGTCTCTTCCTGTTGCAGGTTGTCTCTTCCTGTTGCAGGTTGTGATGCAGGTTGTCTCTTCCTGTTGCAGGTTGTGTTGCAGGTTGTCTCTTCCTGTCGCAGGTTGTGTTGCAGGTTTTCTCTTCCTGTTGCAGGTGGTGATGCAGGTTGTCTCTTCCTGTTGCAGGTTGTCTCTTCCTGTTGCAGGTGGTGATGCAGGTTGTCTCTTCCTGTTGCAGGTTGTGTTGCAGGTTTTCTCTTCCTGTTGCAGGTGGTGATGCAGGTTGTCTCTTCCTGTTGCAGGTTGTGTTGCAGGTTGTCTCTTCCTGTTGCAGGTTGTTTCTTCCTGTTGCAGGTTGTGATGCAGGTTGTCTCTTCCTGTTGCTGGTTGTCTCTTCCTGTTGCAGGTTGTCTCTTCCTGTTGCAGGTTGTGTTGCAGGTTGTCTCTTCCTGTTGCAGGTTGTCTCTTCCTGTTGCAGGTTGTGTTGCAGGTTGTCTCTTCCTGTTGCTGGTTGTCTCTTCCTGTTGCATGTTGTCTCTTCCTGTTGCAGGTTGTGTTGCAGGTTGTCTCTTCCTGTTGCAGGTTGTCTCTTCCTGTTGCAGGTTGTGATGCAGGTTGTCTCTTCCTGTTGCAGGTTGTCTCTTCCTGTTGCAGGTTGTGATGCAGGTTGTCTCTTCCTGTTGCAGGTTTTGTTGCAGGTTGTCTCTTCCTATTTCATGTTGTGATGCAGGTTGTCTCTTCTCTTGGCGGCTGTGGCTCAGTTGGTAGAGTTGTTGCCTCTCAACCAGCAGGTTGAGGGTTCAATCCCCAGCTGTGTGTGTGTGTCTGTCAGGTTGTGATGCAGGTTGTCTCTTCCTGTTGCAGGTTGTCTCTTCCTGTTGCAGGTTGTCTCTTCCTGTTGCAGGTTGTGATGCAGGTTGTCTCTTCCTGTTGCAGGTTGTGTTGCAGGTTGTCTCTTCCTGTCGCAGGTTGTGTTGCAGGTTTTCTCTTCCTGTTGCAGGTGGTGATGCAGGTTGTCTTTCCTGTTGCAGGTTGTCTCTTCCTGTTGCAGGTGGTGATGCAGGTTGTCTCTTCCTGTTGCAGGTTGTTTGCAGGTTTTCTCTTCCTGTTGCAGTGGTGATGCAGGTTGTCTCTTCCTGTTGCAGGTTGTGTTGCAGGTTGTCTCTTCCTGTTGCAGGTTTTGTTGCAGGTTGTCTCTTCCTATTTCATGTTGTGATGCAGTTGTCTCTTCTCTTGGCGGCTGTGGCTCAGTTGGTAGAGTCGTTGCCCCTCAA